AAGGCACTATTCTAATTTTCCATTTTATTCAATAACAATATTCCTGAACACCAGCAGGATCCTTGCAAAAACGATACAGAATTAAATGTTTTAACTATGGATCAAGTTTTGGAGCATCTCAGATGAATCGATTAATCAGGAAAAGTGGAAAAGTGTTCCGCTTCCTATGTCTCACGTAAAAAATGCTGCTCACAACACTCTTTTTATGTTCTCCTATTTACCACCAGAGGTTGAATCGATCGCTTAGTTTCTATTAAAAAGGTGTATTGCCGATAGGTTCTTTTCATGCACCATCAACGTAGAGTGCGCTAGCCGATTTTGAGAGGAAATGTCATCCAATCCATTTTTTACATCATAATGACGATTTTCAAAACTAAAAATAATGTACATTTTATTGCACAACTTGCAAATTTCCATCGGGAGTGGTTTTATTTTTCGATTATCTACAGATCTGAACTGATTTACAGCTGAAATAACCAACAACTGAGACACTTTTATAGATCTTAATTTTTCTTATCAAAAATATATGGCAGCACCAGCCGGATCACTGCAAACCCGATACAGAAAACAAAATATTCCACGTGGATGATGATTTCAAGCACATGCGGTGGATAAATTAATCAGGAAATGTGAAAATATGTTTCTCTTCCTATGCTTCACAGTGAAAAATGTTCCACCCTCATCACTATTTTGAGGGTTCCCCTATTCACCGCCAGAGGTTGGAACAATCGCTTAGTTTCTATACGCCTTTTTAATGCACCACAAACGTAGAGTGCGCCACGTGAGTTCGAGAAGAAACGTCAACCAAACCGATTGTTTACATCAGAATAAGTATTTTCCCCAACGCAAATAACAGCATTTTTAATTCAAAATCTTGCCAATTTCCATCGGTAATTGTCTTATTGTAAGATTTTCCACAAATCTGAACTGATTTGCACCTTAACTATTCACACACAAGAATTCCGGAAGATCATAACCACTAAGGCACTTTTCTAATTCTCCATTTTTCTCAACAAAAATGTTCCTGAACACCAGCAGGATCTTTTCAAAAACGTTACAGAATTAAATTTTTCAACTGTAGATTAAGTTTTGCAGCATCTCAGATGAATTAATTTATTAGGAAAAGTAAAAAAGTGTTCCGCTTCCTATGTCTCAAGGCAAAAATTTATGCTCACAACACTCTTTTTGAAGTTCTCCTATTCACCACCAGAGGTTGAATCGATCGTTTAGTTTCTATTAAAAAGGCCTATTGGATTCGCCTATAGAAACTAAGATTGGTCCAACCTCTGTCAGGGAACCTCAGTTCAAATCTGTAGATAATCGAAAAATAAGAGCACTCCCGATGGAAATTTGCAAGTTGTGCAATAAAATGTACATTATTTAGAGTTTTGAGAACCGTCGTTATGATGTAAACAAATGGATTGGATGACATTTCCTCTTAGATTCGGCTAGCGCACTCTACATTGATGGTGCATGAAAAGAGCCTATAGTAAAGATGTATACCCATATTCTCGTTAATGTTCGCACGTGTTTACCACACATAAACCATTCTATTTGATTTTGTGTGGGAATGGGTTTCGGGTGTATACGAGCATGTTTTTTTTTATTAATTACTTTATTTGTACAGGCTCAATACATACGGGCATGTGGGTGATAATATTAAGTTTACTTTAGAACAAAGTTGAAACATTGAGAAATGTATCGCTTCAGTTTGAGAAATACTTCACTTAGCAACCGATGAACCATTCTGATGGCCCACATTACCGTGCAGGTGCCATGGGTTGGCAGGGTCCAATATGGGACAGCTTGATGTTTATAAAGTACTTCTGTATTTTTGAGCTTTATCTCTTTGGTGTTTCTTCCTAGCAGATAATCATGTTGGTGTTCACTGATTCAAAGAGTAAATGGGATAAGCATTGAGCTGTCCATAGTTGGACGTTGTTGAACTTGTGGTACTTGCACAACTTTTCTTGTGAGTACCAAAGTAACCATATAATCACAAAATAACTTTAAATCTAGGTTCAGAATGAGACAATGTCAATCAGATACGATGTGGTTAGTTGGATATTCAGATGAAACTATTACTTTAAAAAACTTATCCTGGTTGTATCTCTTTTTCGTTTGCATGTAACACTATTTGATGACTAACCGCACCGAGCGTTCCTTCCTGGTGGTGAGCGAACCTGAAGAAAAAGATGACTATACAGGATGAGTGATACCATGAGCCCCTTCTCGTAACGAGTGTAAAGGGTGATACGGTCAAAATTTGGTCAATATCAACTTGACGTATTTCTTTCAATTTTGCATTTAAAAAACCTGAACACCCCTCATTTTGAAGGTGTGTGTGTGTAGAATGTTGCTCCTATTTTGATTTTGGAATTCACTCTTCAGTTGTCAAAATGCCGTCCAAGCAAGAAGAGCAGCGTATCAAAATTTTGCTCGCGCATCGCGAAAATCCGAGCTACTCGCACGCAAAGTTGGCAAAATCGCTAAAAGTTGCCAAATCAACCGTTACAAATGTAATTAAAGTGTTTGGGGAACGTTTGTCGACAGCCAGGAAGTCTGGATCAGGGGGAAATCGAAAACCGGAAGCCGCTGAGACGACAAAGAGAGTTGCCGGTAGTTTCAAGCGAAACCCTAACCTCTCTCTCCGAGATGCCGCAAATAAGCTGGGTGTATCGTCTACAACCGTGCATCGAGCCAAAAAACGAGCCGGACTATCGACTTACAAGAAGGTAGTGACTCCAAATCGCGATGATAAACAAAATACGACGGCCAAAGCGCGATCCCGGAGGCTGTACACGACGATGCTGACGAAGTTTGACTGCGTGGTAATGGACGACGAAACCTACGTCAAAGCCGACTACAAGCAGCTTCCGGGACAGGAGTTTTATACGGCAAAAGGAAGGGGAAAGGTAGCAGATGTTTTCAAGCACATGAAACTGTCAAAGTTCGCAAAGAAATATCTGGTTTGGCAAGCCATCTGTACCTGTGGCTTGAAAAGCAGCATTTTCATAGCTTCCGGGACTGTCAACCAAGAAATTTACGTGAAAGAGTGTTTGAATAAACGTCTGCTGCCTTTCCTGAAGAAACACGGTTGTTCCGTACTGTTTTGGCCGGATTTGGCATCTTGCCATTACGGTAAAAAGGCCATGGAGTGGTACGCCGCCAACAACGTGCAGGTGGTTCCCAAGGACAAGAACCCTCCCAACACGCCAGAGCTCCGCCCAATTGAGAAATACTGGGCTATTGTCAAGCGGAACCTAAAGAAGACCAAAAAAACTGCTAAGGGCGAGCAGCAGTTCAAGGCAAACTGGCTTTCTGCGGCGAAGAAGGTGGACAAGGTGGCTGTACAAAATCTGATGGCAGGGGTCAAGCGTAAGGCCCGGCAATTCGAATTTGGAAAAGCGGAAGCCTAACTGAATATTTTTCCTGAATATTATACTAATTGAACTTGAAAAAGAAATTTAATTTGATTTTTTAAATAAACGATTTCACCGATTTACACGCGTTTTCCCTTGACCAAATTTTGACCGTATCACCCTTTATTGTTAATGGACCTGGTCTACGATTCAAAGTTGGATTCTGTGATCACATAAAAGGTAAAATAGGTAGCAGCATCTTTATCGAAATGTAAGTATTATTGACAATAATCACAACAATCGACTCGCATAAGTGATGCTTCATTCTATATAACATTTACATAACATAAACATTTAAATACATATACAAAAGGGAAGGAAGGGTCCAACAGGGCATCCGATTGAAGCGATTTGGACGGGGAGAGTGGGAATTCCAACTCCCTGTTGATAACACTTCGTGGATAAAAGGTGGGCTCTTCTCCCCACTAATTGGGGCATCTTCCTGTTTTGGGGCTCGTCTTTTCGGCCAATTGTGCGATCATGTTGCTGGAAGGAGATTCTTTATTGTCCCGTAGATGCGTTTAGGCGATTTTGCCTATCGATCCACCCAATCCGTTTTTAGCCTTTCACACAGCGACATGTTGAGGACGATCAGATGTTATTAAGCTTGATCAAGACAAACAGAGAAGAGAGCCCACTGCTATCGGACTTAGTTTCCGTGCTACAATGGTTTGTATACCACTATCATGCATCATCATCATTAACCTAAACAAATGTATGAAATTAGATCTGTCAAAATGAGTTTGACAATGATTTGTTACGTATTGTGTTTTATACTGTTAAAATCACAAATGAAGTGACAGACGACTAACTGGCGAAGAAATCAATTAAAATAATGTGGTTCGCTGTAATATAATTTTCTTAGAAGCTTATGCCATCAGCCACTAGATGGGCTAGTATTTTTGTTTTGATTTGAACATAGTTGATTTTGTGTGCAATATGAGTGTAACATTTTGTCATTTTTTATGCATTTCAGTTTAGAGTAGAGTGAAAGAGATAGAACAAAAACATTCTAGTACATTTAGTGTTGCCATGTGGTACAATCCATTAGTAGCGTTGCCATGTGGTACAATCCAGTAGTAGTGGTGTTGCCATGTGGTACACTGAAAAATTGCAATAGCAGGTGCATCACCAAAGTTTTCGAGCCACTCCGTCTGTCACTTCGTTTGTGGTTAAAATGGTACTTCCGCAAGTTTTTAATAATCTGTTGGTCCATATACTCCGGATTATTATTATTATGATTTTCCAACCCGAAAGCTTTTCTAGACCGGACCGGGAACACAACCGACCGCCAGTGGCTGGCTAATACCATGTCTTAACTGGATTATCTGAGGCCATCTAGATACTGGTATAATATGGATTGTGAATTAACGCTTAATTCTACCATTACTTTCGTATTCTGGTACGTTAAAAGATATCGCTTAAGTGCTTTTCAATGTATTGTTCTGTTTGCTGTTTAATATGATGTTGACTGATTAAATTTTCATTCCACTTGTTTTATATTTTAATGCACTGCGACGATCCAACGTAATATGCTGTCATTCTTTAATTTTTTCAACGAAACACTCATTTACTTACCCTTCCCTAGTGTCCCGACCAGCAAGAAGCACGTACGTGATTGCGCAAGTGTATGTTTTTGACCTAACTTTTGCTCTTTGATTTAATTATGCGATAGCAGCTCTTCCGTGCAGTGGTCTCGGTCTCTCAGGGGATAGTGGCAGAGGCGCCAAGAAGAGTCGGTAGCTGTAGCTGGTTTGTCGGGTTAGTTCTGCTTAATGGTCTATATAACGGTGTGTAGCTTAGTTCTGTTGCGTTTTTTCCCTGTGTTCCTCATTTGCACTCATCGTTGCTCATCAGCAGTAAATACCCTATGGTTATGGTAGCCCCGCAGTTAGCTTGTCAGCTTTACGGGTGTGCGGGACGAGGCACTAGGTACTAAAGGGCCCGGATTGCCAATTCGGGTCGTCCTCCTCGTCCTCGTCGTCGTCGTCGTTGTAGTGTGGCGAAATTTGCATTCATTACAACGTGTCCCCGTGCGTCCCTGGTGGGTGGTCGACTCTGGAAGGAGATTGAAAAACAGGAAGCAACATGAAAAAGACGGTTTAGCACCTGAACGATCGAGAATTAGCATACTAAAGGTATAATTTTAAGAATTGGCTATCTGTTGAAACGGAACGGTACATGGAATCATGGGAATAGAGAATCAGAAGCCAAATTTGATTTTACTGCCTGTTTTCGGTTTCGGTGGCGGTCGACTTTGGCAGATTGGCAGGTTTCGGAGTTATATATGATAACGTGCTAGTTATTTACATTCATCCATGGTGCGTACGGTTGACGTACGGTGTAAGAGATATCAATCACTGGCTTTAACCGTTTCTTTTTTAATAGAAGGGTATTTTGCTTTATCTTAATTTAGTAGGGTTGTTTTTAGGGGGCTGTGAAATTTGTTTTCAATGCTGATTTCTACTTCAACGATCAGTAAATTCGAAATTTTGTCCTCTCTATTTTAAAACCAGGCTACGCCCTTACGATTAGTAAATGCGGATCATGTGGATGTGGTTAGTTCTGGATTTAGGGTCTTCCTGCTTGTTCTCTCAGGATTTTGAGCTGAGTTTTTTTTTTCTGGCCTAGAGCTTCCAATTCCTATGCTTTTGCTGTTGGACCCCATCACAAACGTGTGTGGTTTACTGCTTAGCTTAAGAATTTTCACAATCAAACTATACCATGCAATGTTCAATAGTCGTTTCGTGTATGAAAATTTAAATCCCCCAAAAAACAAATGCAACAGGACCTTTAATTTGAATTTTCTACGCTTGGAGAGTTCACCCAAGTAAACTACAAGCTCACTAATTCACTTTTTGGCATTATAAGGCTGATATACAGTTAACATTATGCTCCGAAGCTATACTAGCCGTATGTTAGCCATATATTGCAAGAAGTCGAATTAGCGGCCTATTGCTCATTTTCATTTTAACTTAGGTGCTTCAGTTACTACAGTAACATACTAGTCTTAATTGTTGTTAGGAGAGAGAGAGAGCAGGGTATCCGTTTGAGCTTGTTTTGACTTTCGACAGCTTTATTATCAGTTGCTTCAAAACTAAAATAGATGTAGAATAATTAATAAACTGTTAGTTTCCTCCATAACCTTACTTACGATTCAGTAGCCGAGAAATAATCTTACGATCGTTTGGCTTGGTCGAGGACCTGTAATCTATTCCAAATTTCTGTTTAGCTGCAACAAACCGGTAATATTTCAATTCCAGTATCCAACAATTTTAGTTAGCAAATTTCACTAGTAAATTCAATATTTTCTCTTAGAACACGTTATATTAATAGTTTCATTGGCGTCTGCCCGAATATCATTGTTCGTCGTTCCTTTTGTCATCGTTGACAGTTCGTCCTACCGTCACGCATGAATAACGCATCTCCTTCGCGTCATTGCGTGGCCGGGCTTCCAGCTGGTCTGTCTTTGTGGGATCATTCTCCCCCCGGTGGAACAAGTGAGCCTCCTTGGTTCCATCTTCCTTGGCCACATCAAGAACTGCAAGCTTCGAGACCGGTCTTCTGAGTATACCTCCATTCGTTTGAACGATCGCCTGCCGAACTCTGCCATCCGCAGCAGTTGTGGCTTCCCGAACGCGACCACGCGTCCATCCGTTCCTTCTGGTGTCATCTATGATTATTACTAGGTCCCCTGCTGCAACATTCCTCTCCGAGCCAAACCATTTCGTTCTTCTAGTTAGCGTGGGTAAGTACTCCCGTACCCACCGCTTCCAAAACGAGTTTAGCCGTTCTTGGATCATGGCCCACGATAGCTTCAAGAGTGCGTTGTTATCTTCGTACTGCACGACTGGTTGCTTGACGCCGGCTGAGCTCCCTAGAAGGAAATGGTTAGGGGTGATTGCTTCCTGCTCCGCAGAGTCCAGCGGATGGTAGGTCAACGACCTGCTGTTGACTATGGATTCTGCTTCTACAATCATCGTGTGCAGAGCATCATCGTCTAGTTTTTCATTGTCATAGGCTGCCGTCAGTGCTGTTTTCACCGATCTGACCATTCGCTCTCAGGCGCCGCCCATGTGAGGTGCACCCGGGAGAATGAATCGTCAAGCTGTTGTTGAACTGGTGAACGTAGTCGCAAGCTTGGTATTGATTTGCTCACGTAGTAATCGCTCTGCACCTTGAAAGTTGGTGCCGTTATCGCTGTGGATTTCAACGGGAAATCCTCTACGGCACACGAATCGACGAACGCACGCTACACAGGATTCAGTTGTCAAGTTGCTCGCAATCCACCTTTTCACTTGACTACGCCCAACTTTCACAAGAAAGGGACAAACATAGTCCAGTCCAACGTAGCTGAATGGACGGGTGAATGGTGATAATCTGGCTTGCGGAAGTGGGGCCATCTGTGGAATGCTCGGTCGCGCTTTCCGTATCTTGCAAAGATTGCACCAAGCTGTGACGAAATTCACGAAAGAGCGAAGCTTCGGAATATGAAAACGTTGACGAATCTAATTGACTGTGGTCTCTTTGTTGCCATGCTTGAGTTGACGATGATAGTTATTTGAAGACACCTTTGCTGAGATATTCGAAATAAGAAAACTAGACCAAAACAACTGTTTTTTAGAGCCACCCTAACTCAATTCAAGAAAATAGCTCTAAATCGGCCAATTTAAAAGATACAGAAAAGTTGTCTTCTACAAAGTTGCTTGAAATTAGCTCAGCTATAACTTTGCGCAAGAATGTATACCTTAATTTATTCAAACAAATAAGTTAGATTTGTGATTTTAATGATAATAGGAACCACCCTAGAATTTATTGTCATAAAAATGAGGACATAACTACAAGGAACAACTTTGTAGAAGAGACTTTTAGTCTAAAGTTTCAATTTCAGGCTCAAAGCATATCATTCCACCTAAAGGGTGATACGGTCAAAATTTGGTCAATATCAACTTGACGTATTTCTTTCAATTTTGCATTAAAAAAACCTGAACACCCCTCATTTTGAAGGTGTGTGTGTGTAGAATGTTGCTCCTATTTTGATTTTGGAATTCACTCTTCAGTTGACAAAATGCCGTCCAAGCAAGAAGAGCAGCGTATCAAAATTTTGCTCGCGCATCGCGAAAATCCGAGCTACTCGCACGCAAAGTTGGCAAAATCGCTAAAAGTTGCCAAATCAACCGTTACAAATGTAATTAAAGTGTTTGGGGAACGTTTGTCGACAGCCAGGAAGTCTGGATCGGGGGGAAATCGAAAACCGGAAGCCGCTGAGACGACAAAGAGAGTTGCCGGTAGTTTCAAGCGAAACCCTAACCTCTCTCTCCGAGATGCCGCAAATAAGCTAGGTGTATCGTCTACAACCGTGCATCGAGCCAAAAAACGAGCCGGACTATCGACTTACAAGAAGGTAGTGACTCCAAATCGCGATGATAAACAAAATACGACGGCCAAAGCGCGATCCCGGAGGCTGTACACGACGATGCTGACGAAGTTTGACTGCGTGGTAATGGACGACGAAACCTACGTCAAAGCCGACTACAAGCAGCTTCCGGGACAGGAGTTTTATACGGCAAAAGGAAGGGGAAAGGTAGCAGATGTTTTCAAGCACATGAAACTGTCAAAGTTAGCAAAGAAATATCTGGTTTGGCAAGCCATCTGTACCTGTGGCTTGAAAAGCAGCATTTTCATAGCTTCCGGGACTGTCAACCAAGAAATTTACGTGAAAGAGTGTTTGAATAAACGTCTGCTGCCTTTCCTGAAGAAACACGGTTGTTCCGTACTGTTTTGGCCGGATTTGGCATCTTGCCATTACGGTAAAAAGGCCATGGAGTGGTACGCCGCCAACAACGTGCAGGTGGTTCCCAAGGACAAGAACCCTCCCAACACGCCAGAGTTCCGCCCAATTGAGAAATACTGGGCTATTGTCAAGCGGAACCTAAAGAAGACCAAAAAAACTGCTAAGGTCGAGCAGCAGTTCAAGGCAAACTGGCTTTCTGCGGCGAAGAAGGTGGACAAGGTGGCTGTACAAAATCTGATGGCAGGGGTCAAGCGTAAGGCCCGGCAATTCGGATTTGGAAAAGCGGAAGCCTAACTGAATATTTTTCCTGAATATTATACTAATTGAACTTGAAAAAGAAATTTAATTTGATTTTTTAAATAAACGATTTCACCGATTTACACGCGTTTTCCCTTGGCCAAATTTTGACCGTATCACCCTTTAAATCTGCATTCTGGACCACTGTGCATTGGTGTGAGCTGGTAGATACTGCTGGATTTCTCTAAAGGTCGTTGTTGCTCTGACGGGAGGAAACGATTTGTAGACAGGGTGATAATCTCGTCAGGAAAGGATTGCCACTGGACATGCAAATGCGTCCACTGCGTCTGTCGCTTCCAATATTTCGGACACTCGGTACGCTACATAGGGACTGTACTTGTGAGGATCCGCACCAATCCAACTGCACTTGAGTCGCTCCACAATACCCGCTTTTTGATCGAGTAGAAATGGCCGTAGATAATGTATTTTGCGAGACGCGTTCCCAGCACGCAGGCCTGAAGCTCCAATCTCGGAATAGTGACTGGTTTCAGCGGAGCAACCTTCGTTTTTGCGGAAACTAGCGCTACTTCCACTTCTCCATCTTCGTTGACAACTCGAAGGTACGACACGCAGGCACAAGCGTCCCGGCCTGCATCGACGAAGGTATGTAGTTGAACGTTTGCTAGATATGTAGCCCCTGTCTTTCGAAAGTAGCATCTTGGAATCCGAACGCTATTGATGTGATCGATCATCTCAGTGCATTATTGGTGCCATTGCTCGAACAACCGGTCGTCTACTTTCTCATCCCAGCCGATTCCTAAACGCCAAGCGCTTTGAATGAGTAGCTTGCCGAAGACCAAATATGGGGCGAGCAATCCCAGTGGGTCGAACAGGGACATCACACACCGAAGAATCTGTCTCTTTGTTGGCTTGTGGCCGTTATCGATGATGGATGCGACATTAGACTGATGCAAAATTTGAAATTTTCGCTCCACAGTGCTTAAACGGTTCCAAATTGGGTCCTGCT